AGAAGGTTCTCCTGTGCTGTTCCTGGGACGCGGGTGTGATACTGCAGAACGAGCTGCCCTCTAAGAACAGACGGTCATCGCTACCATTTGTGTCGCTCAGCTCCTGAAACCGGTGGAAACTTGTTGGTAAAACATGACCGAAACTAGCTTCGGGTCACCTCGTTCGTAGTACACGAGACCCCATACCTGCCATGAAGACCTACCAAATGATTGAGGAGCAAGGCTGGGAGACCAGTCCCCGCTCATGATATTCTCCCGACGTAGTCCCCTACGACTGCTACCTGCTCCGCCTCCTTAAGGCTTTCTTAGCTAAGAAAATTTCAAGCAACTTTGATGACATCAGTCGAGAGGGCGCTGATTTACTCTACTCGCAGCCTTCTCAGTTCTGGGAGGAGGGGAATGCTTACCTGTCCATTGGGTGGAGCACTGTAGTGGCTAACTATGACGAGTATATTGTTGACTAATTCCCACTGTATGTTGAGTTAGAAAATAAAAAAGAAAAAAGTCACAACAGTGACAAGACTTTCCTTCCAACCTATATAACACAAGGTAAATAAAGCCTTTCTCGTGGACATGTTTGGAACAGCCATCCTTTAGCAATGGCGGCCTAAAGTCTCTTTCCGACTGACAGAACCGAGTGGGCTGCTAGTAGCTAACGTAGAGCTCCTTCCTAGAGACCTCCGTGGAACCCATAAGAGAAGTGCGACCATTGTGGGAAACGATGAAGCTTTAGACCGCGACATCAAAAGAGTTTGATGGCAGGGTCTGTGTCGTCTACTATCATCAGAAGTGGCGATCGAAGAGTTCCAGAGCGGATTTTGAGCTTTTAGCGGCATTCAGTTTTGTCCAAAAATGCGTTGACTGAAGTTGAAAGTCGTTTAGAAGGAGGCACTCTCGGTGAACCGCCGTACATGTCTTGACGTTTTTATTTCTTACAAACACACGACAATCGAAAAGAGGTTCGCTTGTGCACGCAAAATGGGGGATGTTACCTTCGATCCGAATTCGGGGCGGGTATTTTGTCCTGGGAGAGGGGGGGTCGTAGTTGGGCTGAGAAAAATTTTTTTGATAGTTGTTTTTTCTTGTTTCAGGGCGTTGTAAAGGGTACAGGATCGTGTTCCCTTTCTGGTTTCTTACTGTTAGATGGGTTGATGCATTTTGAGTTTTTTGGTTGGTTTCTGGTTTGTTTGTTGCGTTTGGTTTGTTGGTTGGTTGGCTTGGTTTTTCCTGCTTCACATGTGCTATCTGCCCCTCCCCCCTCGCCTGAGAGCTCGACAACGAGGGAACCAGGGGATCGTACCAACTCCCTGAAAAAGAGGAGTCGTACGGACTCAACCAAATTCTCAATAATGATTGCTTTCGGTTATCATCTTTTGACAAGTGGAGTAGTAAAGCTCCACGAGTGCCTAACATTTTCTATAAGAACTCTTTTTTTGTCAGGATGAGCGAAATCAGGTGCTGGCTTTGAACGTGTATGGGTGGAGCAGGTGTGGCACGATGAAAGGATCTTATGGAAGCCTGAAAAGTTCGGGAACCTCACGAAACTCACCCTCGCCACGAGACACGTCTGGACCCCGGAATTGTTTTATTACAACAACGTAAGTGAATTGCCATATAAAGTAAAATATCAGCGCCAAGTGCTCATGTTGAACCGATACTAATCTGCGAATCAGCTGATATGCCCTGATTGCTATATATCTCACCCCTCCATGTTCTTTACTCACCATCAGCACAGTCCTCGTCAGTCAAGTTCACGACCCAAGTAGGTGTTTATGTACTTATCGCTTTGAGAAGGAAGGCGGAGTGGTGCACTTGAACGTAAAGTGCAGAAAACGTTGCAGTGATGCACCTGGTTTCTACCCATAAGCTTGAAGTTCATCATTTTCCTAAAAGCGGCTTATCTGTGTCACCATTAGAGTTTATAACTGATTGTTCGACTACCCTGCTTACAGGGGAATGAATTGGCACTTCTGCTCCAGCCTTATTTCAGTCCTAAAGTGAGGGGCATAGTTCAACACACGCAAATTGGAGCAAGGGTGATGAGAATGTTGTCGCAGTACGTACTTTTCGGGGGTTGTACTTTTCTGCGGAGAGCCGGTCGCATTTGTGGTTGTTGGTCGAAGAGGGGGGGGGGGTGGTATGTGGACTTCGAGAGAAAGTCGGCTGTGTTGGGGTTGTTGACTTTTTCTGATTCTTTTCTTGCGCGAATCTCTTTTTCTTTTTCTTGCGTGATTTTTTTCTGCTTCATGTGTACTATATATTCCCTCTCCCCTTGACAGAAAATTTTTGGGTGGAAAAACTGGAAAAATGGGAAATTGGTAGGTAGGTGTTGGGTAAGGGAGGGGCTCGTACCGAGACCCTCTTTTAGGTGGTTGATGTGTGTGTGTGTGTGTGTGGGGGGGAGGGGAAGGGAATCGTTCGACCCACATTTCACACATTACGATGCTATACCCTGGTTGCAAATGGTGTCATCTGCGCGGCATTACTTCCACGGCCCAATCGTTCCTACGGATCAGTGCCGTATGAAGTATTTGGATAAGGCACTTTGCTTGCAGCAGGCTATTGATACCGTGAGCTAGACGAGCGACTAACTGTCCAGAGGACCAATTCATCGGTCAGGACTGCTTTGGTAAGAACATAGCAACTCGAGCGCGCGAGGCGGTGGTGCAAGAGATCTGTGATGTGGCGGTGCTGCGAAGGGGACGTTTCAAGTGGTGTTGCGTGTACGGCATTCGCACCAGGACCTATTTGCCTTAAAGCAGTTGGGGGAATAATTTGGTGCCACGTATAAAATGGTGGTAGGGGTGCCAAACAGAGGGGAAATGGCGAAAAAGCGAAGTGAAATGGTGAAAATTTCCAAAAAAGCTTTTGTGCTACACGATTCAGGAAGTAATTTTGGCAGTTTCCCGTTGGCATTGTACCAATAACGGTAAGTACGGCTGCATGTGTGGGCTCATATATCCATGCAGTACCGCAGCCGCTTCATCAATCCCTTCGCTTCATATTGTACTTCGCAAATGAAAGCGATACGAGCATCAGCATCAGTCGGACATTTGTGGGCGGGCGGGCGCGGTGGGCGGCCTGGTCGTACGTTGCAGCTCGACAGGGCGCTATATGGAAACCTTCCCTGGGGAAGGCCACGCAGCGCTCGCTTAGAGGCCCTAATTCAGTCCTGCCAGGCGTTCAGTCCTGCACGTCTTGGAGACTTATCGTGCCAACTGCCTTTAACGTGGAGGAGCTGCAGCATGCCGAATTAACCAATAAGGGAACACTTCGCTGATTCCTTTCAGTCACTGTATAACGCGAATCCCCATCACTGGGGTCGGCATACGTGGGCCACCACGCGGCAGTATATATGGGTGCTCTACGCTGAATGAAGGATAATAAAATGTGTTCGAGTCACATGCCTAACCTACAATAAATATTTTTTTCAGTGCACGTGATTTCTCTAGAGGTTTTGTGGATACGAATCTTCATGCCAATTACTATGGAGAGTGTGAGTTCTGAAATCCAGCAATATCTTTCTTGGCCGCAATTCTGCGTTCATCAAGAGAAACTAGCAAAAATGCCGAACGCCCCTCTAACTCTTTTTTCCTGGAGTTGCTCACCGGAAAATGAAAAATTTCAGTGCAATGGGCGCCTCCACAGAAGATCTATATTTTTATTTGTTTTTTTTTTTTTTAGCCGATGCCACATGGATGTGGCAAAGTTCCCGTTCGATCACCAATTCTGCTCGCTTATTTTCCGATCCTGTAAGTGAACGTTTTCTTTTGAAACACACTATTGTCTACAAGATAGCACTACTTAGGGATCTATGACACGTCTCAGCTGGACCTCATGATTTTGGAACGATATGATGGGAAATCGCCTTTTACCAGAGACTCCTTTACTGAAAATGGCGAAATGGGAAATTTGTTGAACAAGTCGCACATTCGTTTATCAACACACAGCGGGCAGCACCGAGTCAGTACGGGTTCACACTTCACGCTTGCTTTCGGACTCCTTACCATTAGTGACGGATTCAGATATGCAACGGTTGTTTTCGAACTCCACCTTCGTCGCAGAACTCTGTTCTTCATGTACAACATTGTGGCACCATGTGTCATGCTTTCAGTAAGTCGAAAACCCTCAACCAAGTTAACATCTGTTACCTTGAAAAACTGTCTATAAGCTCAGATATCGCGAAAACCAGGGTCCTTCGGTTCAGCAGCGCCTCTGTAGATCCTAGTGGTAGCTTGATACGAGAACTGCGAGAGGGGGAAGGGGATACCACGAAAACTCCACAACCGGAAAAAAAAACTTCCCAAGACCACGAGGGCGAATAGGACTCCCCTCCCGAATAACGACGAAGAGGAACCTCCCCTTTTATAGAGTACATTTTCTCAAGTATGACCCCCTCCCCTCCCCCAGCAACCAAATACGGTCTATACGGGGAATTTCCAACGATATGTCCTTAGACTGATCTCCGCAAATGCCCGTTGAGTTGGAAGTGAGGAACAACCTGCTACTTTAGTTTCTAGACTGTTTAACATACCGCGTGGAGCTCCAATTCTTTCTTAGTTTACCGTTTTTATCCCGTTCTGTTTTTGCCCCGTAGAAAAATGAGGAAGCGTCCGTATGACACTTCAGTTATTTGTATAAATTTGAGCGTTAGCCTTTTGTGTACTCTTGGGTTAACGAGTCATCGGGAGTTAGTTGGCATGGGGTGGAGGGGGTGGAGAGGCGGAAACAGGGAGAGGTCACGTTGGGAGAGTCACGGATTACGCTATATCTACCCGCCATTCCTTGCTTTTGTCAATTCATTTTGAAGTTTGGGAATCGTGTTCTCTCACTTTTCCTGCCTCGATAAGATCGGGAGCAGACAACAGAAACTGGTTGTGCATAATGGTGACGCGAGTGAGCCCGCCTAGCAATCATGTTAGCACAGAGGATTTTGACCATTTGTTTTCCAGATCCTCACGATGATGCAGTTTCTTCTGCCTTGTGAAAGTGGCGAGAAAGTCACCCTTGGTCTAACAGTACTGCTCGCATATTCCGTGTTCAGCTTCAACATAGCAGAGAGCATGCCTGAAACGTCGGAAGTGATCCCACTGATCGGTGCGAATCACGCTCATTTCTCCAGGAGCCCCGTCCGGCGCAGTTCGGTTTGAAAGGGGCATTTTGCTGGTTTCCATCGATCACTACCTGTTCCTTTTGTGGGAACGTGTAAATTCTGTAAAGCTCCGAAATAGCATGAGCTTCGTTTACACTTGGCGACAGGACTCACCAAGGAGTGACGAGTAATCCAAAGGGATCTGCGAAGTGGCAAGGCCCCTCCCAAACCGAACCGAATCGCTCTAGCTCATCCTATCTACCACGTAGTACGTATCTTTAACTTTATAGCTATCTACCTAATGGCAATTTATGGGTATATCAGCGCTGTCGGTGAGCTTCTCGGTGTTCGTTTTGAATCTGCGTCATGGAGCCGACTATTCTGACAGGTTATTGCATTTACGCAACAATTCCTATTTTTTTTAATTTTTGATCACCAATTAGGGGTTAGAATTAAAGTCATCCACGTAACCAAAGTTCAGAAGTTATGGATATCTGTCATTCCGTTATTCTACATTTCGATGTCCATGGAAGCTGCCTGAGGAATTTCCCACCGCGCGTTTGCAAATCAAAGCTGCGGGTGTCGACCTCCCCACTATTAGGTTGGGAGGAAAGTCCTGCGACACTTTGATTAAATTGCTCTAGAAAAAGGATCGAAAAACATTTCGAATGTTTTCACCTTCTGATTAGTGGAGGTGTCCTCCGAGGTCTTTGAAGATGTGTATATCATGACTTCGTGGAAGCTTTCAAAGCCTAAAAGTCCCCCAAAGGTCAACGTACTTTTCGACCTACCTCACATTATTAAGTTCCTGTAAAAAATTCAGCAGCATTCAACATCTCGTTCACATTTAGGCCGTTAAAGGAACCATACCAATCAACGGAGAATCCAAATAATCACAGACTGAAGTGTAATCGGCCTTCCTGAAGTCTCGCTTGAACACCTTCCTCAACACGTTGGGCAACCTAACGCCGAATTGAATGCTAGCATGGTCACTAGAACCGATTGGTGGTTCCACCTTAACCCCGGTGACAAATGTTTTGGAATTGCAGAACAGGAGGTCTAAGGTATTGTGTCCTCTAGTTCCACCGTGAACGAACTGATGGAAACCATTATTTTTGGGGTACTTATAATTAATAGCTGCCTCGATCTTTCTGCTCACGAGTTCATAGGTATTTTCTGATGTACACTATCGACTAGATTGTTCGCGACCCACTTTTCCAACAGACTTGTACGCTGAGGCCTTTCAAGGGGCTAAGTTTGGCGTTGCGTCAGACTTTTCTCCACCAGTTGTAGTGGCCTCCGACCTCCACAATTTATGGAGAACATTCTGACTCCGCGTTACAAGCATCTCCGCAAGCGAAACAAGATGTGTAATTCTGCATATGTGAGAAGGCTCTAGAGCTAAAGGTGAGCGACCAGAAAACGAGATAACTGATGACGACGTTATTCCAGCCGTTTTATTCACTTTACATCGTCTTACCAGGGCCTTCATTCGAAGGTGAATAGTTTTGGAGTGTTCTATGCTCAAATCCATAGCATTACGGTCGCTTCTAGAACGTTTTACTTACCAAAACTAGCAATCGAACGAAAATGTGGACTTTCACATCTCGGAAAATGAAAGAATATGAATTTTTCAATCTGCGTTTAGGATAGAAAAAACAGCAAGCAAAGTCGGTCAAGTTGTGAGCGAATATGGAATGATAATCTGAATGGACAGCATCATTATTAAATTCCCGAATGGCTGGAGATAATCGGCTTCTCCATACTTGCCCCAGTGTTCGGCGGCACACCATCCAGAAGTAGATCGAAAAGTATAAGTGCTCAAAACAAATGTTCGGTCCGATCGGATAGCTCGAACTGTGACGATCTCGTTAGCAAAGACCTTGTGGGTAATTCCATATTGTAAGCAGATATACATTACAGAAAAACCTTGATTTTTCAGTATAGATCGGGTTGAGCCGAACAGAGTGTTGAACGGCTTGTTGCTCGTTGGTCGCAACTGGCTAACATTTTCGATCGTCTATTCTTCACCGTCGTCCTGACTCTGAACGGCGGCTCTACGCTGTTCCTTTTGATCGTTGCACCTAGCTTTGACACTCCCACCCTCTATAATAGAGTGTGGGAGTTGTAAAAAAAATGTCATCTGTCTCGGGCTGTTTCTGTTTGAGGTGAACCGAGAGAGGAAGTCATAACCGTAGATTTCAGTCTGGATGAGTAGGCAAAAAAACGATGAAAGTTTGGATCTGAACATAAGTCCCTGTGAATACACCAATGAAAGTCGCATAGTCTTAACAGTAGAGAAATAACGTTGACAGAGCTTCATGGATGCTTACAGGGAATAAAAAGTTTGCGAATGTTTTCCTTGGGAAGCAGCACGATAATTTGTAAGTCATATATTAAAATTACAGGGTACTTATGTAGTGACTAATTTAAAGTGAGATGGAATACTTGACACATGCAAGGGAGTATTATTAGGTTGTCCGGAAAGTTCTCAGCGTTTTGGGTGTTTCACTTTAAACGATCGTAACTTTTTTAATACTCATCGGATTTAATCGAAATAGGCACCGTTCGAATCAGCACAATTTGCCAATGTGACAGTCGTCGGAATCCCATTTCAAAAGAAAAAACTGGGTGGTCGAGAATCCACGAAATCTACGAAGGTCTTTTTTGCCTGGTCTTAATTGATGAAGTATTTTTCAGCAAGGAAGTTCTGAAAATGTTTGAAAAGGTGATAGTCGGTTGGTGAAAGGTCTGGAGAATATGGTGGGTGTGGTAGAACTTCAACCCCCAATTCGTTCAATTTATGGATAGTGATTTGTGAAACATGTGGGCGGGCGTTGTCATGCAAAAGGAATCGGACCCTTTCTTTTGATAAGTGTTGGCTGCATCTGACAAAATTTTCGGTACAATTCGTCGATTTCTTCACAGTAGGGTTCTGCTGTGATGGTTTGGCCTGGTGATAAAAAGTTATAGTGGATCACACCAGCCGATGACCACCAAGCCGTGACCAGAATCTTTTTTTTCGTGAGGGTTCGGCTTTAAAAATTACCTCGGTGGTTCGTCGAAATCCAACCACTGTCCGGAACGTCTCCTGTTATCATACATGACCCATTTTTCATCACAGGTGACAATTCGGCCCAAAACAGGTCGTTTCTGCTGCGCAAAAGCAATGCAGAAGGAACCTCGAGACTTGCCGATTCCTGCCGGTCACTCCAGTTGTGGGCACCCAATTGCTCGAGTTTTTCACCTTTCCAATGCGTTCCAGGCCCTCTACACAGTGGATTTGCCAAGGCCTAGCTCTTCTGCTATTCTCTCGAACTGTTTGGGATGGGTCAGCCTCCAAATCCCCCTAAAATCCTCGTCAGATATTGCTTTAGGTCGACCGCTATGAGGTTCACCTTCAAGGCTGAAATCTCCAGAACGAAATTTGTTGAACCATTGCCGCACAGTGCTTTCTCTAGCACTATTGGGCCCCCACACCTGGTCAATTTGTTGAGCTGTTTTTCGATTGCGGATTGCCCCAATTTATAGTCGAAGAAAAAAATCGTCCGAAGTGCTCTTTTCACATGCTTGAAAAAATCTTGAAAAAGGGGGTTTATCAAGCAATGGTGAAACGGCAATTATACCATCAGATAGCGCAAGAAATTCTCTACAGGATGTGCTACTGAGCAAAGCGCCAATGGCAAAATTGAGTTCTTAATCATCATGTGAATTGCTACAAAGAATAGTTGTGACACAAAACGCTGAGAAACTTTTACGGACAACCGTTATACTACATATGTATATCACTCACACCTTGATTCATTGCATTTTATTTATGACATTCCACAGGATGTGTCCTTGGCAAAAGTTTGGAAAATTGAAATAAATCATAGAGGATAAAGGTAAAGTCTTCGCCGTTGATCAATCCCTTTGTGGGATGCGGCACGCATTCTACTTCCATTCAGAATCGTAGTGGCTTATTGAATGCGATGTGGCCTATACAATGACTTGCGGTGGCCAGCCGATGTACAAGTCAGTGTTTTATCCTTCCCAG